CTCCACCACGGTGGTCAGATACGAGTCCTTGACGTCGTCGGAGAAGAGGCGCAACAGCACGGCCAGCAGCTCGTTTAGTTCTCCGTTCGCCTGGCCCGAGTACGGATCCACCTGTTGGGCATGCAGACGGTGGCACATCGGCTGGTACGAGTTGTCAATGGTGTACCACTTCTCCAGGAGCAGGCGCTCGGCCTCACTGGCGGTGCCCAGCACCGAGGTGAAGTCCTGGCTCTCGATGGTCAGCGGCAGCATGGGAGTGCCCAAGGTTGCGCCCAAAAAGAGCACCGGCACCACATACGCTCCGGCCGAGTGGCGCGTGATCTCGCACAGGCAGTTGGCCGCCTCCTCGTGACCGCCCTGCGCCTCCAGCGGTGTCTGGGTCCAGCGCTTCACCTCCTGCAGGCGCGAGAAATCCTTCCGCGCGTTGCCATTGCCCGGCTCCGTTTCCGGCTCGCTGTCGTGGACATCGGCGATGATGAAGTCGAAGCCACGGCTTTGGCACTTGCTCTTGAAGTGTTTGTACAGGCTGTGGACGACGCGCTTGTGCTTCTTGTACTCGGTGCTGTTGTCGGCCAGTATATAGACCACGATCTTTTTGTCCCGCTCAATCTTCCGGCCGGGCGGCGGTTTGCCCTGCAGCACGCTCAGGTTTCCGGCTCCCGGATTGGCATTGGCCACGTCACTGGGCGCCTGCGCCCCCTGCGGTGTGGTGCTATTTGAATCTGTTCGAGAGAGAGGCAATAACGTTTAAGTGCTGAGTTCATATAAAGAAGTTTGAGCTTTTGCTAAAGAATTCGCGCATTGAGTCAGTGGAAAAAAGTAATTCTTTTAGAACTATAACACTGGTCGACAAAAAAAAAGCCCAAGAATAAAAGCTACCAAACCTGAAAGGATTTTAGCTGTAGATTACTACCTCATACTTGGAAACTTTCCATCACGTCGAAGTTTTGAGAAATCCGTGGTAAAAGTTCCAAATTTTCGATTTTTAGGCACTTTTTGCTACTTAATAGTAGGAAAACCCTTCGTAGCCCAGAGCCAAAATTTAGCGAAAAAGGTACTTTGAACCTTTAACTTCAAGAGTGTCCAATCACAAAGTTGGGCGACCTCTACTTTTTTAGCTACAGTGGATTTTACTGAAGTACTTTTTGTCACTTTTTTTCATCTATAGTAGCCTGATATTTTCCTTGTTGAACTGAGACCCGTACACATACAATACATTCAAAATATCAGGCTACTATAGATGAAAAAAAGTGACAAAAAGTACTTCTGTAAAATCCATTGTAGCTAAAGATATAGAGGTCGCCCAGCTTTGTGATTGGACACTCTTGAAGTTAAAGGTTCGAGGTACCACTTCCGCTAAATTGTGGCTCTGGGCTACGAAAGGTTTTCTTACTATTAAGCCGCAAAAAGTGCCGAAAAATCGAAAATTTGGATCTTTGACCACGGATTTCTAAAAACTTCGACGTGATGGAAAGTTTCCAAGTATGAGGTAGTAATCTACAGCTAAAATCCTTTCAGGTTTGGTAGCTTTTATTCTTGGGCCAAGAAAAAGTCTTGATTTTGTCGACCTGTGTAATCAAAACCCCTAAATCTTTAAGTAAAGGTTTAAGTTTTAAGTAAGGTTTAAGTAAAATTCGTGAGATAAAGAATTGTTTACAGCGATAATCTATTTAGTACTTAAAGCATTTCTTATATTTTATTTACCCTTGGCTATTTAAATCTGTTGGAGAAAGCCAATAACGTTTAAGTTATGAATTCATATAAAAAAGCTTAAGCTTATCCTAAAGAATTCGCGGACTGAGACAGTGGAAAAAAGTGTTTTTTTTAGAACTAAAATCATAGCCCCTAAATCTTAGGCTTAAAAATTATTCCTAAGTTAAAGAATTGTTTAAAAAGATAATTTAAGAAGTAAGAGAGATACTCTGAGCTACAGATATCTAAAATAGTTAATATATTTCAGTTACCCTTGTCAGTTCCGCCTGTTTTGCCCGTCACCGTTGGTGGCTGTTGCTTCTGAGCCTGCGTCTGGTTTCCATTGGCCTCCGGCAGAGGAGTCACCTCCGGCAGCGCCTCTACGGCCGCCAAAGGAGCGCGCTTCTCCTCGCCAGCACTCGAGTCGGTGGAGATCAGGTTGTCCTTCTGTTCCGCCTCCTGGTATGGAGGCGAACTGCAATCACAATTAAATTAAATTTTCTAATGGACATTTCATTATTGGAAGAATACACTTACTCGTCGGACTTTTCGGAGGCACTGTCCTTGTCCTTCTTTTTCTTCTGGCCGGAACTGCACACGTTGCCCATTGCGGTCGTTCGATTTCCTACTCTTTAAATTACAATTGACTATTGATGTCCTGCAAAGGATTGAAAGAAATTTGATCTATTGGAGGTTGTGGGATTATAAACTACCTAGAAAACAAATAAGCTTGAAACCATTTATAATTTCTGTATCAGTTTAGGATAAGGGATGAAAAAAAAATGTAGTCTAGTATAATGCAAAGTAAAAGACCTTTCAAAGACTACCCCACTCTACTTATACTTAACTATGTCCTACTAACGATACTAACTTTTATTTTAGTCTTAAGTTTAATCGCAAAGCATTAAAAAAATATTAGTGAATTTTACAGGAGCTACCCATATTTATTATTAAGTCCTTGATTTAAGATTTCTGATTTAAGATTTGTATCCTTTTAATTTAATTACTCGTAATCGAAAATAGTTGATTAATGGCTTTATATATAAAGTAAAACAAGTACAAACTCCCTATAAGATTCTAACTTCCTAATGGGTAATATTATCACGTTTTTAGTAATCGCTGTGGTAATTTGCAAAAGATTGATTAAGTTGGAACCTCACAGCTGTTGCAGGGTATCCCATCCCCTTATCGATTGGGAAACACTTGAGGCGCCCAGATTGCAAAAGTGATATCCTTCTTATAAAGATGTTTCCTTTATTTATGATACAGAACACGTATATTTTATAACTCTTCCGTAATAATGGTCTTAAATAGTTGATGAACTGACAGATATAAATTTTTCTACAACAGGTCAATGACAAAAACAAAATGCTTGGGAACACCGAGCACATCCTGTGCGAGGAGCGAGCGAGAAGGAGCAACTCGTGAGTGAAAGAGAGGGGGCTAGGTGAGAGAAAAGCTTTCGCTGAAGAGGCGAACGAACGCATGCTCTCTGCGGGAACTTTTATAGAGATTTTCTGCGTTGAATTGGCATTGGCGTTAATCAAGTGGTCGAGTGAACTGGCCCAAGTGGGTGGTTGTGGGCGATGGGCGGTGGGTGGTGGGTGGTTGTTGGTGGGTTCTGGTGGGTCTGGGTCTGGGTCTCGTCTCGGATTTATTGCGGGCAATGCGCTTGGCTGGATTTTTGTGTACACGCTTGAAAATTGTTGACGCGCGAGCCCCTCTTTGCCCATCGATATCACCTATGTATGCATGGACATGGATGCTTGGGCATTTTCCCCTGGTTAAGTTTTTATTGGATATCAAAATATTTTCGATCGTTCAACCAACAATATACACAGCATTTGTCTTTCGCGACCGATTTAAATTCTTTAGCGGGGGAAGGTGGGGAAAAGAACGCTAAAAATAAATCCCCCCTATATACACAGAATATATGTTTTTGAATCTGTTAGTTCGACATTTTGTCGCAGCGGAATTTCGAAATGGTTCAATATCAATTAATTTGTCAAAGATGCCGTGAAGTGAATCTGAATGTGAGTCTTAGTCCCGTGTGTTTTTCGCTCGCAATCTCTTTTCACATCACATCACAGATGCCTTTGCGTTTGCAGCGCACTCGTTCGGTGTGTATGCATCGTTTAGTTGGTTATTTGATTTATTTTAATACACAAATTTCTGTCACTTACTTTTCTTTACGCGCTTTTCACATGCGCCCCCCGGAAAACCCGCCGCACCCGCACCCCGTCGCAATCTGGCGAACCAACCGAGAGCCCCGAGTCTAAAACATTTTCCACCCACTGCACTTGCACTTTGCTCAATTAATTGCCTAATCAAAATGTTTGTTACACACACGCCGCGAAGACATTTCGTCCGAAAAGTGTATCTTTCGAGTGCGTTTTTCCTTTTTTCCGCTCGATTCTCTATCTTATTTTTTTTCGATTTTTTTTTCTTTTCGATGGCAGTGCGCGCCTCGGCTAGTTTTTCCTTGTCCCGCCGATGTGCGTCGTCGTAGTGCTCGGCGCTCTGGGTTTTCACTGCTTCTGAGTCCGTTGGAAAATCGGTCGCCAGCGAGTGCGTATTGCGGAAAGCTCCGGAGCTTTTCCGACGACCTCCTCTCTCGAAGCCCGCTGCGACGAGGGCTGCAATTTGTTCAAAGTGGCCATTGAAGACCTTGCCGCGAATTACCGTTAAGCGTTACAGTGGAACGGAGGACCCCAGGGAATAATATCCTTAGTAAAAGAGCTTTATTTAGAGCCCTAGAGATCTTTAGGCTAGTTTGAACTTATTTATTTAGTTATTATGCTCGTACACTTGTACAAATGTTGTTCTTTTGATTAAATGGAAAAGCTTAAATTTTATTCAAACTATTTAATCCAATAAAAATGTGTCTTTGATGTGTTAAAAGTTATATATTTATGTTTTTTACTTTTTTTTTACTTAATGTTATTAAGAATACGATTTCTTATCTTCAATTTACACATACAACTGTTTGTTTCCTTAAATTTTCACAAGCTGTCATTGTTTTATAGTGATAGTTTTCATAGTTTTTGGGATATTTTAAAAATTTATTATTATTTATATTTTGAATGTAAGATTTATAGATTTATATAGATAAAAAAAAACAACTTAGTTTTGATAATGATAACTAAAGGCCCCAATAAGTATGCAACAATTTTGAAAACCTTTTTGCACCTTTCTCGGTTTTCCTTCTTACTTTTACCTTCTCCGTTTTCCGCTAACAAGACCAACCACCGTCGAGAGCTGTCAAATTGGGTGCTTCTCTGGAACTTGATCTGTCAAAAGGCCAGAGCCAAAAAGGGGAGAAAGCAGCTGGCGTGGCTGCATTTCGTTTCTTTGCCTCAAAGTGACAAGTTTCGAGGCGCCGAAGTTGTTGGAAAAGTTACCAATAAATTGGCAAAGCAGAGGAATTTTCCAAATTTCAAAGCTAAAATGCTATAAAGCCAAAGCCGATACGGCGAAAAGAGATAAATCAAAAAGAGGAAAACCCACTGAGGACACATAGAATCAAAATGAATCGTCTGCTGCTGCAGTGTCTGGTGACCTCCATTCTGGTCTACAAAGGTCAATACATAAGCCCTAATGTAGAGAGAACATTCAGGAGTCTACCCCTTACCAAGTGATAAACAGGATAAGCTAATAACGGTTTCTAAAAATTTGGGCATCCTCGAAATCTGCCAAGAAGAAAAATGTATATGCTGCTGGATTTTGATTATATAAGCTGGCCTCCAGTGCGCAGTCGCCAAAAGAGTCTGGGACCGAGGCATCTGAATCAGACATCTGGACCAGGCAAACGGGGGAAATAGGTCAATGTTTTTGCCCGCATGCGAGGCGGAGCAAAACAAACGCGAATGCGGGAAACCAAAACAGAAGGCTCGATAAGGGGTGGAATACGTATTGTTTGTGGGGTTGCAAATGGGGCTTATTTTCCCCCCACCCTGATGACTAACAGCTGTGTGTTCTTGCAGTGATTTCGGTGCCAACCAGCACGATGAGCACCAGCATCCAGACGACCTCGGAGATTCCGCAGCAGGATGATGATGACGATGACTGGGAGGAGGATGACGACTCCCTGGAATCGGATGACGATGGACGGGTCTACAAGAATCCCCGCAATTCGCCATCCACCGAGTGTCCACGGGATGAGGAGCAGGCTACCCTGCTGGGCCAGAAGTGCTTGAGGAAGTGCTCCTCTGACGAGGATTGCAAGAGCAAGAAGAAGAAGTGCTTGTGCGATGGCGTCTGCGGCAATTCCTGTATTAAACCGGGTGAGTTCTAGTCTTATATTTCATTTATTTACCATTTTTTCAAATAATAATAAGGTAATAGGTGTTGAAAGGATTATTATAATTTAAATTATGCCAATTCATACCTTTCTAATATCATTTCGTATCAGATCGCGAATGCCCGGAGCTGGCACAGCCCAGTTTGGGTCAGGTCACAGTGGCCGGACGCCACTTTGGAGCACGTGCATCCTACGCCTGTCCCCATGGCTACCATGTGGTGGGTCTGCAGAGTCGTCTTTGCCAGGCGGATGGCAATTGGGCCGGAGCTGAGCCAGCCTGCAAGCAGAACAGTGAGTAAAAAAAAAATAAAAATAAAAATAAAAATAAAATAAAAAAAATAAATAAAAAAAATAAAAAAATATATAAAATTCCTTTTAGTTTACTGCCTGAAGCCGCCGCAGATCGAGCATGCCCGAAATTCGGCTCTGCCGGAACAGGAAACCTTCGACCTGGACTCCACGGTGCAGTATCATTGTCACACCGGTTATGTGACCAATGGATTCCCCAGGGCCAAGTGCCTGGCCATCGATAACCTGGCCAGTTGGTATGGACCGGATATTCAGTGCGAACGTAGGTGCTTCTGTTCGAGATGGGTATTCCATTATAATAGAACCTTTTTGATGATTTCAGCTAGATCCTGTGGCCAGCCACCGGATCCGGCTTACGGATGGCATGCCGGCGAGTGCTACACGTACGGATGCAAGATCACCTACAATTGCGGAACCGGATACGAGTTGGTGGGCAAACATGAGCGATATTGCCAGTCGGACGGATCCTGGACGCCCAAGGAGCTGCCCACCTGTGTCTGTGAGTATTGCATAGAGACGCCTGTAGAGCTTGTAACCGACCTCTGACCTTTAAAGCGGATAGCGCAAATGTAACCACCACCCAAGCGTCGTTGTCCTAGGCGAGGCGACCCTTTGAGTTTCGTTTCCGACTCCTTGGAGCTGGCAAATGGCACAGATCCCAATACCAATTACCAATTACCGATACCAATATCCGTATCCGAAACTATGTATTAAGTGTACTGTGTACTTTGGTCAGGGCTCGGATTCTCCAGTCGGAGTTCTCCGATCCTGTTAACCACACACATTCTCTCTCTATCTCTGATTTGATCTAGCGTTACAAAACAGATTGTTCGAAAATTTATGCAATACCTTGTTGTTGTTGTTGGCCTATTAATGTTGAATTGAATGAATAAATAAAAGTTACCGCAAATCTTGAGCAAAACAAAAAAGAAAAAGAAGAAATTTAATCAAATCGAAATCAAAGTTGTTTTATTTGGTGGATCGATCGCCAGCGGCTTTCAAAGATTTGTGGTAACTTTTAGCGTACCCTAATCCCCTCTCCATTCACTGCTAATCCATGGCTTCTCCCACTCATCCGCACAGTGGTCACCTCGGTGGTGTGTCCCACTCCGGAGAATCCCAAGAACGGCAAGGCCACCTACACCACGCTGGCCTACAACTCGGTGGTCAGCTACGAGTGCCGCTACGGCTACACCCTCATGGGCGAGAGTTCCAGTCGCTGCGGAGCGGATCGAAAGTGGAGCGGCACATTGCCCACCTGCAAGGGTAAGTGGTTGGGATTCCCTTTGAATGGTTCCTTCTTTCTTAACTTTAGATCAGTAATTTTGGTCAATGTGTATAATGTGTGTGTGTGTTGGCAGAGCGGTAGCTGAGAAAAGCTGTTTCTGCTGGCAACCACTTCTTAAGATAAATTTATTTAAATACCCCCTTTAAATGATAGATAATAATACTAGAATTATAATTATATATGTGCAGTGCACACAAAAAATTCATGTCACCGTAAAATCGATATGTGCATGTAAATTTCTGGTTGTGCAATACGCATATCGTTTTTACATGAAATACTCTTTTGAAGCATATCAACTTTACCTGGCCGCATATGAATCTAAAATTGATATTACATAATGTAAAAGCAATCTACGTTTCATATCGGTTTTTTTTTGGGAGTGGAAAATAAGTTCCATTAAGATAAATTTTAATGTTGTTTTAACGGTAGAGAAATAAAATATTCCATAGAAATTCCATATATTATAAAATGTGTATTTAATGAATTATGTAAAGAATAGTATTATAATAAGGTTATTTTTCGGACTTTTCTATTTTCAATAAAAATAGTAAATATAAGTGTGGTAAAAGTGCAGTTAAATCGCCTATAGAATAATTTTCGTGCTGACTGTACTTATAATATTTCAACCCTTTAACAGAGATCAACTGTGGACATCCCGGCGTGCTGTACAACGGCTGGATCGAGAACATCGAGGCGGGCACTGGACTGGGGGCCAGCATCATTTTCCGCTGCCAGCCGGAGATGATGATCAATGGACTGGGATCGAGTGTCTGCCAGATCGACGGAAGGTGGCGGAACGCCCTGCCCGAGTGCCTGGCGCCCTGTGTGGTGCCCACCATTTCGCAGGGCAATGTCTACCCAATTGAGATTACGACAGATGAGAACGGTACGACGATTGTCCATCCGCCGACGACCACGACACAGTCTCCGATTCAAACGCAAAGCATTGCGATGGGCGGCGTGGAGAAGGTGAAGCATGGAACAGCCCTGGAGGTCAAGTGCGATGAGAACTATGAGTTTCCGGTATCGCTGCTCAGTCCGCCCACGTGCAACAACGGCACCTGGAGCATCATTCCACGCTGTGTGCCCGCCAGGTGCAAGAGCATGCCCAGGCCACCCAAGCACGGCATGGTGATGGCTCCCAAGACGGAGCACGGCATGAAGGCGCGGTTCAAGTGCAAGGACGGCTTCAAGCTGGTCAGTCCCGAGGGCAAGGACGTCACGGATCCGCATGACTATGTGCTCACCTGCTCCTTTGGCAACTGGACCGGGGAGACGCCCAAGTGCGACGAGGTCTTCTGCTCCTTTCCCGGCTACATTCCAAATGGCAAGGTTCTGCTAGTTGGCAACATGGGCCTCTACGACTATCGACCCTATGTGAAGAAGATCGTGAACAACAAGCAGATCATGTACGATTGCGACAAGGGTTATGTCTTGGAGGTACGCCAATGGAAACCTTATAAAGCATCTGATCATTTAGTGTTTTTTTTAGGTTGGTCCTCCGGGTGCCACGTGTGTGGGTGGCAAGTGGCGTCCCCTGGATCTGCCGCAGTGCCTCCTGGGGCAGCATCCTCGTCTCCGTTGGAATCGCCGCAGACGTCGCTCCCTGGAGATCCGCCAGCTGCGATCTATTTATCTCCTGCGAAGGCAGCGGGAGCTTCAGAGGCAACTGGTGGAGAATCAGAAGTATATCAATGCAGGTAGTTAAAAAGGACCTTGATCATAGCCCTTAGTACACCCAAAAAGAAATTTATATGAAACATAGATCGATTTTACAATGTTTAAGATCAATTTTAATTTGATATGGGGCCAGGTAAATTTGACCTGGTTGATAAGGCCTTTTCATGTAAAAGCAAACTGCGTTTTGCATGACCTGAAATGTACATGGTCATATCGATTTTACGGTGACATGATTCTTTGTGTAGGATCTATTTCGTTCCTTACTTGAAAGCGGGTAGCTTAAAACGTCCTTCGTCATAGCCTTAAATACACCAAAAAAATCGATATGGAACGTAGATCCTTTTATACTCGTTACTCGTAGAGTAAAAGGGTATACTAGATTCGTGCAAAAGTATGTAACAGCTAGAAGGAAGCGTTTCCGACCCCATAAAGTATATATATTCTTGATCAGGGTCACTAGCCGAGTCGATCTAGCCATGTCCGTCTGTCCGTCTGTCTGTCTGTCTGTCTGTCTGTCCGTCTGTATGAACGCTGAGATCTCAGAAACTACAAAAGCTTGAAGGTTGAGATTTCCCACACATATTCTTTGGCTTCCTACGCAGAGCAAGTTTATTATAACGCCCACAATCGGCCACTAACGATTTTAAAATGGGTCCTGCGCCCACATCTTTAAAGATTTCCGAGAAGTATAAATGCAATTTTGTTGTGTATATTTATACCTATCGAAATGTAGAAGACATTTTTCAAATCGGACCATTCATTAAAAAGTTATACGCAATCAAAAATTATATATCTATCTCCCTCGCACTCCCTTTAGCTGAGTTACGATTATTAGTCGGGACACCAACCCGACACAGCGTTCGCACTCCCTTTAGCCTGGTCAAGGGTATTTCATGTAAGAACGATCTGGGTTTTGCATGAAATGAAATTTACATGGTCATATCGATGGTGACACGTTTTTTTTGTGTGTAGGATCTATTTCGTTCTTTACTTATGTTATATTTTAAAAACTATACCTTCTAGTTACCAATTCCGACCAGGCACCGGTTCAACGAGTAAAGCGCAATGCCAGTCCCCAATCGAATCCTCAGCCCTATCCCACGGATGGTGATCTGGCCTTCTCCAAGTACTACGAAAAGCTCCGAGAGCGTTATCAGCGGTACGTCCGGAAGATGCTGGGTCGTGATCGGATCTACCAGAAGCTTCACGCGCAGGACGCAGTGGGCAGAGTGGGAAACAACCTCAATGTCCCCTACCACGACGGCGGTCAGGTGTCGATGCGTGGCAAGTCCAACTTTAGGGAGTTTGAGAACGGGAACAATTATCTGGGAGGAGGAGGAGGAGTCGTTGCCCTGCCCAACATCAACCAGGCATCGCGGAATCAGGTGGCTCACTCAAACCGCAGTCCCAAAGAGGAGTTGCTATCCAATGGATCGCCACCGGTGGCATCGCGGAGTTTCCACTTCAATGCCACCAGATCGTACATGGATCAATTGAAATCTCAGATAGTCCGACGGAGGCGCAAGAGGAGCTCCAGCTCCAGCATTGGACAGGCACCACCTCCTTCGGGGGCAACGCTCACGGATGCGGAGGTGGACATCAGCGATGGCGGAGAGGGCGGCGGAAAGGGTGGTGGCGGCGGAAAGCGGCTGCGAGGACCCTGCGAGGATCTCGACTGGGACTCCTTCGCCAATGTGACCACAGTGCGTCCGGGCAAGGTTCCGGGCAGAAATGCCGTGGGCATCATGCTGCATCTGGAGTGCAATGCCGGATTCAAGCTGAACATCAAGGGGGAAAATGCCACGGCACGCTGCATCCGAGGGATCTGGAAGCCGGAGATGCCCAAGTGCGTGTCCGCTCCTTGTTTGGTGCCCGCCGTGGAGCACGGCCAGTACTACAAGGTGGAGCCCCACACGAAGCAGCTGAGCGACAAGCCCTCGCTCACCCCGCTCTCCAGCTACGAGGAGATCCAGTCGAATGAGTTCATCACCCTGGAGTGCGAGGATGGGTTCAATATTCAGGTGGAAAAGCCCTAACTTTTAGAAAATAATTAGTTAATTCTGTATATTCCATCTGGCTGTCCGTCTGTCTGTAAACGCTGAGATCTCGGAAACTATAAAAGCTAGAAAGTTGGGATTACCCACACATATTCTTGGGGTTCCTATGCAGCGCAAGTTTATTTCAGCCGTGGGCCACGTCCCCTCTAGCGCCCACAATCGCCTTAAACGTTTTTAAAAGATGTCTGGCGCCAAAAAATTTAAAGATTTTGGAAAAGTTAAAGTGCCGTTTTAGGGTGTTTATCAATACCTATCGAAATGTAGAAGAAATTGTTCCAATCGGACCATTCGTTAGAAAGTTATGCCCGATCAAAGTTTTATATCTCGGGGCAACCGACTATAGCGTTCTCTATTATTTAGACTTATATAAATGGAAATAGTTTAATGAAATATTTAGAAATATTTTATTTCAGGCTAAACTCAATTCTTTTAAAATATTGTTATTTTAAACCGATTGCTAGATTATTATTTTTCCGCAATTACAATTAATATTCTAGGGTTCGGCTCAGCTGCGTTGTGCCCATGGATCCTGGTCGGTAAACGCCTTCTCCGAGTGCACATCGGTACCATGTACGCTGCCCAATATTCCAGGAGTCATCTACGATGTAAGGATCTATCACTCACCAACGCTACTCAATTAGAAATTCAAGTTATCTTCATTTTTAAGGGAGGCTATCGAGCAGGACTAACGATTGGACATGGAGGCAGTGTAAGCGTACGCTGTGAACTCTCCACAAACGCCAATCCCATAGAGATGTCCTGTCACAAGGGCATCCTCACACCACCCAGTATTCCTTGTGAGTCGGGACTGAGGAAATCACGTGAGGAACTGGAGCATGCCACGCCCACTCCGCATCCCAAGGTGGAGCACAACGAACTGGACAACGATCATGATCATCCTGACAATGGCACCGATGAGCACGACGACATGAAGATGTGCGGACCACCCATGCTTACGGATGGCGCCTTGGTCTACAAGTAAGTTATGGGTTTGGTTTTTGCTAGCCTTGCGGTCTTATTAGGGATCTAATCACCGAAGGAATGCCGAGCATCCAGAGCTTGATGGCGCCTACGAAAGCGGCACGGAGATCTTCTTTAACTGCATCCCAAATGCGGCTGGGGATCGGCAGACGTGGCGCATTATCTGCGACAATGGACTGTGGATAGGACGATCCTACAATTGCGGTGAGTTTTGGGAGTTCTTTCTTAAGTTATATACAAAAACAGCTAAATATTTCATATAATACTTGCTTAGAAAACGGAACGTGTGTGTTCAGGAACAACGAAGCTAATGTGGTTAGTTTTTATAACGACCTGGAGATCCGAGAAGATGTTGTGGACTTTCCCCCAGGAGCCACAATCATATCTAGGTGAGCTGTGAATAAATCCACCTAATAACTTTTTAAATATTAAAGATAATACACTATCTTAGGTGCATGGACATTGGAAAGTTTTCAATGACGGGCAGTCACGAGAGGACCTGCATCCACTCGGAATGGACCAACACCAAGCCCGTGTGCTCTGGCTTGAACCAAGAGAACGACTATGCAAGTGGGTATCCTCCAGCAATCCGAGTAGGATTTACTTATTCTCACCTATCCTGAAATTATCCAGTGGAGAAGGCTCCGACCATCCTGTTCCGACACCAAAACGGACCCATCGCCCAGAGCAACGATGGCAAGCTGATCGTTTATCCCGGGACCACGCTGCACATGGAGTGCCTGTGGATGAGGCGCTTTGGAAATCCCAAGTGGAACGTCAGTCATACGCACAAGTGGGTATCGGGTTGGGTTTGCTATAAGGTTTTTCATCTTTATTTTACTGACTAATTAATTCCAGCAAGGGGTATGTTTCAAATCTATTTTTTCAAGGTTAAATTAAGATATATCGCGTTTTCATTTATAGGTTTAAAGATATTTTTAAGTAATATAGGACCAACTAATTTTTTAACTTATTAGGGTTTTAGTTAAAAACAGATGATTTATGATATATTTGAAATTTTATTATGATACCACACAGAGAAAACAAGAGAGAACGCTATAATCGAGTGCCTCGACTATTAGATACCCGTTACTCAGCTAAACAACTTAATAGAAATATGCCTCCTTTTTTGTTTTTCGAAGCTGGAATTAGCTCCCGTTTTTTACCCAGGGAACTCCACGTGGAGGCCTTCTAAAACTTTCAATTCTGCCTAGCACATCTTCCGTCTCTCTCTAGCGCAGGTGAATGCACTTGTGAAAAACGAATACGAGCAAAAAGAGACAAAATGCGCGCCCTTTTCAAATAATTTAAAATTTGCAATAACATATTGTGAATTAGTGTGACCACAGAAAAAAAGGACAAAAAGTTCAAATTAACCATCTGAATAGATGGCGCTATTGTATATTGAATTGAGCCATCTACCCCAAGATATTGGTACTACTGGCCATGAAAGGCGGAAATGTAGGCGCTAGACAGGTTTAAGCGTTAAATGGGTTTTGCGGGCGTTAGAGTGGGCGTGGCAAACTTTTACTTGGCCAATCGATATGTATTGACGAAACAAATACATATCAGTTACTATTTTCATAATAGCTTCAAAACTGTGGGCGATAGAGAGGGCTAGTGGGCGTTAGAGGGGGCGTGGCACCTTTTTGAAATAAACTTGCGCTGCGTAGGAACTCCCAGAATCTGCATGCAAAATGCCAATCTTCTAGCTTTTATAGTTTCCGAGATCTCAGCGTTCATACGGACAGACGGACAGACAGACAGACAGACAGACGGACAGACGGACAGACGGACATGGCTAGATCGACTCGGCTAGTGATCCTGATCAAGAATATATATACTTTATGGGGTCGGAAACGCTTCCTTCTACCTGTTACATACTTTTGCACGAATACAATATACCCTTTTACTCTACGAGTAACGGGTATAATTATTAAAAGTTTTAGGCGCAAAATAAAGGGGTTAAACATAAAAAAAATTTTTTTTTTTTTGCATTATTAAAACGTTTTCATTTTTATTTTTAAAACGTTTTTATATGAAAACGGCACCTAAAACGCTGCATAACTTTCTCTGTGTAGGAAAGATATTTATTAACAGCACATGATCTAAAGAATTCGTTGGATATGGTTTAGAAAAAACACCTTTAGGATATCCCACTCTTTATGAACAAACCCATCTAACGAAATCCCGTGCCTTGCAGGAACTACACGGAGGGCTGGGTGACCGAGGCGGACGAGGGTCGCGACTCGACGCTGGAGTACCGCCTGAGCATCGTGGACGCGGCGAGTGACGACTCCGGGTTCTACTCCTGCATGACGCCCGCCCGCCACGAGCACGCCGTGGAGGTGGTGGTGCGCGCGATCAACTGCCCGGAGATTCCGATGCGGCGTGGCCTGATCGTGAACACCAACGATACTAAGCTGAGCACGCGGGCGTTGCTGTCCTGCGCGAATGGGAACTCCTTGATTGGCGCCTCGGAGCTCTTCTGCCTGCCGAGTGGCAACTGGAGCGCACCGCTGCCGGTTTGCGAGAGCGTCGAGTGCGGCGACATACCGCTGGGCGTGGGCAGCAATGCCAGCTCGCCGCGGGTCTCTGTGCTGTCGCGCGAGGTGGGCGGTCGAGCGGCCTTCTCGTGCGCCTCTGGCTACGGGCTCCGCGGTCCGTCGGAGGCAATCTGCAACCCGACGGGCGAGTGGAGCGCCCCAATTCCGAGCTGTGTGGAGGTTCAATGCCTAAATCCGGGAGCCCCGCAGAACGGTTATGCTCAAGGGCCAGCTCCTTATCGGGCTGGCGATGTAATCCAGTTCAATTGCAACCCGGAGTACATGATGCAGGGCCAGCCGATCATCGCCTGCCAGGACAATGGGCGCTGGTCGGGGGGCCTGCCGAAATGCGTTCAGGCCTGCTCCTATCCGGGCACCGTCATCAGCGGCCGGATGTCCTCCGTCAAGTTCTACTACGCCATCGGCGAGAGCATCACCTTCACCTGCGATGCCGGATTGGATCTGCGCGGCTCCAAGGTTCTCAAGTGCCTCAAGAACGGCAAGTGGTCCAGCGCCATCCCGACGTGCGTGACCAACGACGGTCCGGCCGGAGGAGGCGGGGGATCCGGATCCGTTGGCTCCAACAAGCACCTGGCCACCACCATGGGCTAGGGCGGATCGGGTCGAAACCTCGAAACATCGATCGACCGCAAGGATATGCGTTGCACCAGAGTGATACTAATACATATTACCTACTAACTAATGCACATTCCAGGCGCACAGTCACGCGTTTACTAACTAATAACGACATTCTTGCGATTCAATTGTAACTGTAACGTAACTGTAGCCCTGTACTGTATCGCAAGGCCATCATTTTACTATTAATAAATGTTCGTCGAATAAAAAATAACCTAAGAGGTTTTTTACTCAAAATTTGGGTTCCTCATTTGCAATGTGCTCATTTCATGAATGCCATCATTGGAGCATTGGCAACTAGAGCATTTTACAATTGGAACATTTTAATATTGGGGCATTTTATAATTGGAGCATTTAGAACATTTTTTTAGAACATATTCCAATATGGTCAAAGGGGCCTTAGAACATATTACAATATGGTCAAAGGGGCCTTAGAACATATTACAATATGGTCAAAGGGGCCTTAGAACATATTACAATTTGGTCAAAGGGGCCTTAGAACATATTACAATATGGTCAAAGGGGCCTTAGAACATATTACAATATGGTCAAAGGGCGCCTTAGAACATATTACAATATGGTCAAAGGGCGCCTTAGAACATATTACAATATGGTCAAAGGGGCCCTAGAACATATTACAATATGGTCAAAGGGACCCTAGAACATATTACAATATGGTCAAAGGGGCCCTAGAACATATTACAATATGGTCAAAGGGGCCTTAGAACATATTACAATATGGTCAAAGGGCGCCTTAGAACATATTACAATATGGTCAAAGGGGCCTTAGAACATATTACAATATGGTCAAAGGGGCCTTAGAAGATATTACAATATGGTCAAAGGGGCCTTAGAACATATTACAATATGGTCAAAGGGCGCCTTAGAACATATTACAATATGGTCAAAGGGGCCTTAGAACATATTACAATATGGTCAAAGGGCGCCTTAGAACATATTACAATATGGTCAAAGGGGCCTTAGAACATATTACAATATGGTCAAAGGGCGCCTTAGAACATATTACAATATGGTCAAAGGGGCCTTAGAACATATTACAATATGGTCAAAGGGGCCTTAGAAGATATTACAATATGGTCAAAGGGGCCTTAGAACATATTACAATATGGTCAAAGGGCGCCTTAGAACATATTACAATATGGTCAAAGGGGCCTTAGAACATATTACAATATGGTCAAAGGGGCCTTAGAAGATATTACAATATGGTCAAAGGGGCCTTAGAACATATTACAATATGGTCAAAGGGCGCCTTAGAACATATTACAATATGGTCAAAGGGGCCTTAGAACATATTACAATATGGTCAAAGGGGCCTTAGAACATATTACAATATGGTCAAAGGGGCCTTAGAACATATTACAATATGGTCAAAGGGGGCCTTAGAACATATTACAATATGGTCAAAGGGGCCTTAGAACATATTACAATATGGTCAAAAGGGGCCTTAGAACATATTACAATATGGTCAAAGGGGCCTTAGAACATATTACAATATGGTCAAAGGGGCCTTAGAACATATTACAATATGGTCAAAGGGCGCCTTAGAACATATTACAATATGGTCAAAGGGCGCCTTAGAACATATTACAATATGGTCAAAGGGGCCTTAGAACATATTACAATATGGTCAAAGGGCGCCTTAGAACATATTACAATATGGTCAAAGGGGCCTTAGAACATATTACAATATGGTCAAAGGGGCCTTAGAACATATTACAATATGGTCAAAGGGGCCTTAGAACATATTACAATATGGTCAAAGGGGCCTTAGAACATATTACAATATGGTCAAAGGGGCCTTAGAACATATTACAATATGGTCAAAGGGCGCCTTAGAACATATTACAATATGGTCAAAGGGGCCTTAGAACATATTACAATATGGTCAAAGGGCGCCTTAGAACATATTACAATATGGTCAAAGGGGCCTTAGAACATATTACAATATGGTCAAAGGGGCCTTAGAACATATTACAATATGGTCAAAGGGGCCTTAGAACATATTACAATATGGTCAAAGGGGCCTTAGAACATATTACAATATGGTCAAAGGGGCCTTAGAACATATTACAATATGGTCAAAGGGGCCTTAGAACATATTACAATATGGTCAAAGGGGCCTTAGAACATATTACAATATGGTCAAACGGGCCTTAGAACATATTACAATATGGTCAAAGGGGCCTTAGAACATATTACAATATGGTCAAAGGGCGCCTTAGAACATATTACAATATGGTCAAAGGGGCCTTAGAACATATTACAATATGGTCAAAGGGGCCTTAGAACATATTACAATATGGTCAAAGGGGCCTTAGAACGTATTACAATATGGTCAAAGGGCGCCTTAGAACATATTACAATATGGTCAAAGGGCGCCTTAGAACATATTACAATATGGTCAAAGGGGCCTTAGAACATATTACAATATGGTCAAAGGGGCCTTAGAACATATTACAATATGGTCAAAGGGGCCTTAGAACATATTACAATATGGTCAAAGGGGCCTTAGAACATATTACAATATGGTCAAAGGGCGCCTTAGAACATATTACAATATGGTCAAAGGGCGCCTTAGAACATATTACAATATGGTCAAAGGGGCCTTAGAACATATTACAATATGGTCAAAGGGGCCTTAGAACATATTACAATATGGTCAAAGGGGCCTTAGAACATATTACAATATGGTCAAAGGGGCCTTAGAACATATTACAATATGGTCAAAGGGCGCCTTAGAACATATTACAATATGGTCAAAGGGGCCTTAGAACATATTACAATATGGTCAAAGGGCGCCTTAGAACATATTACAATATGGTCAAAGGGCGCCTTAGAACATATTACAATATGGTCAAAGGGCGCCTTAGAACATATTACAATATGGTCAAAGGGGCCTTAGAACATATTACAATATGGTCAAAGGGGCCTTAGAACATATTACAATATGGTCAAAGGGGCCTTAGAACATATTACAATATGGTCAAAGGGCGCCTTAGAACATATTACAATATGGTCAAAGGGGCCTTAGAACATATTACAATATGGTCAAAGGGGCCTTAGAACATATTACAATATGGTCAAAGGGGCCTTAGAACATATTACAATATGGTCAAAGGGGCCTTAGAACATATTACAATATGGTCAAAGGGGCCTCAGAACATATTACAATATGGTCAAAGGGGCCTTAGAACATATTACAATATGGTCAAAGGGGCCTTAGAAAATATTACAATATGGTCAAAGGAGCCTTAGAACATATTACAATATGGTCAAAGGGCGCCTTAGAACATATTACAATATGGTCAAAGGGGCCTTAGAACATATTACAATATGGTCAAAGGGGCCTTAGAACATATTACAATATGGTCAAAGGGGCCTTAGAACATATTACAATATGGTCAAAGGGGCCTTAGAACATATTACAATATGGTCAAAGGGGCCTTAGAACATATTACAATATGGTCAAAGGGGCCTTAGAACATATTACAATATGGTCAAAGGGGCCTTAGAACATATTACAATATGGTCAAAGGGCGCCTTAGAACATTTTACAATATGGTCAAAGGGGCCTTAGAACATATTACAATATGGTCAAAGGGGCCTTAGAAAATATTACAATATGGTCAAAGGGGCCTTAGAACATATTACAATATGGTCAAAGGGGCCTTAGAACATATTACAATATGGTCAAAGGGGCCCTAGAACATATTACAATATGGTCAAAGGGGCCTTAGAACATATTACAATATGGTCAAAGGGGCCTTAGAACATATTACAATATGGTCAAAGGGGCCTTAGAACATATTACAATATGGTCAAAGGGCGCCTTAGAACATATTACAATATGGTCAAAGGGGCCTTAGAACATATTACAATATGGTCAAAGGGCGCCTTAGAACATATTACAATATGGTCAAACGGTCCTTTGAACATATTACAATATGGTCAAAGGGGCCTTAGAACATATTACAATATGGTCAAAGGGGCCTTAGAACATATTACAATATGGTCAAAGGGGCCTTAGAACATATTACAATATGGTCAAAGGGCGCCTTAGAACATATTACAATATGGTCAAAGGGGCCTTAGAATATATTACAATATGGTCAAAGGGGCCTTAGAACATATTACAATATGGTCAAAGGGGCCTTAGAACATATTACAATATGGTCAAAGGGCGCCTTAGAACATATTACAATATGGTCAAAGGGGCCTTAGAACATATTACAATATGGTCAAAGGGCGCCTTAGAACATATTACAATATGGTCAAAGGGCGCCTTAGAACATATTACAATATGGTCAAAGGGGCCTTAGAATATATTACAATATGGTCAAAGGGGCCTTAGAACATATTACAATATGGTCAAAGGGGCCTTAGAACATATTACAATATGGTCAAAGGGGCCTTAGAACATATTACAATATGGTCAAAGGGCGCCTTAGAACATATTACAATATGGTCAAAGGGCGCCTTAGAACATATTACAATATGGTCAAAGGGGCCTTAGAACATATTACAATATGGTCAAAGGGCGCCTTAGAACATATTACAATATGGTCAAACGGTCCTTTGAACATATTACAATATGGTCAAAGGGGCCTTAGAACATATTACAATATGGTCAAAGGGGCCTTAGAACATATTACAATATGGTCAAAGGGCGCCTTAGAACATATTACAATATGGTCAAAGGGGCCTTAGAACATATTACAATATGGTCAAAGGGGCCTTAGAACATATTACAATATGGTCAAAGGGGCCTTAGAACATATTACAATATGGTCAAAGGGGCCTTAGAACATATTACAATATGGTCAAAGGGGCCTTAGAACATATTACAATAAGGTCAAAGGGGCCTTAGAACATATTACAATATGGTCAAAGGGGCCTTAGAACATATTACAATATGGTCAAAGGGGCCTTAGAACATATTACAATATGGTCAAAGGGGCCT